AGTAACTTAAAGAAGTCCAGACGCTTTTCTTTGCAAGCTCCTTAGACTACGATGACCTGGATGACTGAGAACCTTCACAGACATCAGTGGTTGTTGATATATAGTCATGAGAATTTGCATATTAATGATCAGTGTTCCTTCAGTGGGCTGGTTTCAGTCATTATGCAAATGTCCTGTTTATAAGGTTGAAACCTGCAGTCAGGTGAGACTGAAGAAGTCACCTGATGATGAGCAAACATTTCTCCCACTGAAAATGCTACGTCCAGATGAACAGAATAAACTTTTTGGGATTTACTCACCTGGATAATAAAGACATCAATAAATTTAAACCCTCTTTTGAGGATGTTTCTATTTTTGTGAAACTGAAAACCCCCCAAAACAAAACAGAAAATGTGTACAGTCAGAGGTTAAAGTGGATTCAGCGGGTGTGGAACCCTATAATTGGTCTTAGTGGCTCAGTGTGGGGAAAATAATCATAACTCTCAATAATTTCTACCAAGAGCTGCAGTAGATTTTCTTAGTGTACAGGCTGTGATCAGCTGACCTGCTGCTCTTTGTGGATGTACACAACTTAAATCAACCAGATGTGAGCAGATGTTTCCTGAGTTGTCCTGGCTGATTTCCATCCTCCACACTGACAGCACACTGTTTATGCTGTCTGTTTTTCTAGGTGGTATAAAGTTGATATGATGGTGGAATTCAGTCAATGAATCTCAGCATCATCATCTAAATTCACATGTTTCTCTGCTCCACCTGGTGTAACCTTACTCTGACCATGAAACCACAGCCACAGTGTATCACTCACACACTGCTCTTTACGTTTAGGAAGTCACTTGGATGATGACAAAACGTTTCTCCCACTGAAAACATGCAGATGAACTTATTAAGCCACGTGCACAAAAGTATACAGATGATTTGTTTTTAAATATAAATCTACGTGTCTGCTGCATGACACAAAACTAATGTTAGACACAAAACTTTTTCAAACTTCAAACCATACCAAAGACGTTCTTTTACCACAAACAGCACCAATGTACACTGAGCAAAATAATCTGTTTTCACATCTCTACTCAGTGTTATGTGGAAACTGAAAGACACAATAAACACCTGAACAAGCGACAACAAACTCAGCTTGACAAGAAATCAAAGTGTTGTCTCCTGAAGAAAGATGCCCTGTGTTCTGGTTCTGGTCCATTTTATAATGGAAGATGTGGTAAGGACAAGAATGAATATATCTACCAAATTTGAAGAAATTACTTTCTGGCCTTCCTGAGGTATGGCAAACAGAAATCTGCAAATGTAAAGCCTCCACGTATTGCTGACACAGAGTCACAAAGTCTAGCTGCAGATACAGTGAGGCGGGATAATGAATTGATCCCTTGCTGCTACCTCAAAGGGAGATATCAAATAAATATCCCCAAAGAAACAAAACAGCACTTATATAAAAGGCCTGAGTGGAAAACTTGGCAAACCCTAAAAAACATTGGTCTATTTCCAGTGATCTGCCAACAACTAATAATAAAACAAAAGACTTCTCATTGCTTTTACAACTACTCTGAATACAATCTACATCACTGTTTAAGAATTTAAATATGAACTTTTGCACTATTCAGCAGTGTGCACTGGGGGGAATACTTCTGATGCCCTGTTGAATTTGTAAGTTTTAAACAGAAATGACCAGTCTCTCTCTTTTCTGTCACCAAATATCAGCCCACAGACTGGCTGTGCCCATACATTACAATGGCACATACATAGGAACAAATCAGTAAATCAATTACAGCTACTCCTGATCTCAGCTCTTCATGTCTAGAAATCACACCTGCTGTGTCCCCTCTGTCCCCTTCTGGCCGCCTGCGCCTCAATTTTATTCCACAACCTAGACATCCACATTACTCACACTCTCATAACACATACATATAGGGGCTTGGGGGTGGGGGACGGTCTGTGTATTGAACCTCACCTCTGGTGCTGGTGGCCGCCTCTTGATTTTAAATGCATGTAGACATTGAGGGTTCTCGAGAGGGGCCGTGCTGACACCTGCTGTTCTTTGCCAGCAGCACCACGCCCTCCCGTGTTTTAAATGCACTTGGGAACAGCACGCAGCAACACTACACATGAGTGGGAGGAGGGAGGTATGGGGTCTTCACACCCCCCCGTTCTCTGTTAGCCATTGGGACGCAGAGGCTGGGAGGAGGAGTTGGCCGTCCAATTGGGGTCTGTGATGCAGGGCCTCCCGGCTGCTGCAGAGCCGGGAGCGGTATGCTTGTCTCCACCTCAGGGGAAAGGGTTACATCTCCTGGGTCTAGGTGGTGTCCAGGGCTGGGCGCTCATGTATGTACCGGCTCACTCCTGGTGGCCGCTTGGCGGGTCCTGGTGCCCATGGCTTGGTCGGGCCTCTTCCGGGGATTGGGGGGCCCTCCGGCCTCTGGGCCTACGGCTCGGTTCACTCTGGCACAGCTGGCTGCCAACAGAGCCCGCGGGCACGCCACTGCAGCTCCCTCTGGCTTCTGCTCTGTGGCTGCTGGGAGTTCTCTCGTCTGGGGCTCTCCTCAAATCTTCTCAGGAGGGTGGCATGGTTGCCCTTAAAGTGGACCTCCTTGGGCTCTCACACTCTGGAGCCTCTGGATGTCTGGGGCCTGGATCTCCTCCATGCCTGCATCATGCTCTGGGGGACAGGGCTATGGCTCCCTACACCCTCTAGCAGATCATTACATGGAGAAACCTTTTGAAAACAAGTGCACTGATCCACACGGGTGTTCAGACAAGCTACACTTTTCTTGGCTGCTACCTCAAAGCACACTGTGTGCTGTCGGTCCTGCGTGCTGCACAAAAACATTTAATATTTAGTATTTACTGTTATTTACACTTATTATGTTGCTCTCTTTTTTTTGCTTGTTTTCTCTTTTTTTCCTTTTTTTTCTCTCAACAGGTGATCTGGGAGATTTTTTTTCTTTTTAAGTTTCCTTTCTCACTGTCCCTCTTCCCCTCTGTTTTTCTGTTCCTTCATCTCTCTTTCTTCCTTTCCTATCCCCCAGCCATGTCTGTCCCATCTGTAACAACTGAAAATAAAATAAAATAAATAATAACAACAAGGGTTGATCAAATGGACTAAAACGGCAAGGCCGTGATGATCCACTTGGAAAAGTAAATCCATTGGGTGCCTTTGTTGGCTTTCAGATATCAATTCTGATGGCTAAGGAACCAAACCGGACAGGCAAAAAAAAAGAAATCACACCTGCTCACAGAACCGATTTCTTCCATTCCAACCTCAGCACTACTATGGGTAAAATCAAAGAGCTGTCAGTGACAACCCTGCAGACCTGCACAAGTTGTCTGTGGACAGAGCTCCCGTTTTGAGTTGCCAAGTTGCAGCAACAACATCTAAAGGATTTAGAGAGTTTCTGCAAGGAGTAGTAGGCCAAAAGCCCCCAGCGCTACTTCTCAAATTAAATTAACACTGACTTTAAATGATGCAGCATCTGTCTATCCTGTTAAATCTCCAGTGACATTTTGTATCTGCAAAATAAAATGTTACATTAAAATACAAGACGTGTTATTCCAGTTTCTTATAAGCTTCTTCTGTCATCGCTGTGGGTTTTCGCTTTTAACTTCAGCTGACCTTCAAGTAATGTGGATTGCACAACACTGGACATTATATTCTTCATTTCCAGTTAATACTTGTACAGCTGCTGTTATTGTGTATATGCTGCTGTTATTGTGTATATATTTATTTATATTTCTTCATACATTCTTATATAGTTCTATATTGTGTATTTTGTTGTACAGTTATTTTATTTTCAACTTTAATTTATATATTTTATCTTATTCTTCCCAAGTAAAATTAACCCTCAATCCAAATTGGGGTGTACAGTTATTTCCTTTTTAACCTTAATTTATATTTTATTCCTTCCTAGTTAAATTTACCCTTTTTAATTTTTCATATTTATTTCCTATCTTATTCAGAGCCTTTCCTTTTTTGTTTTCTTTAGGTCACGAGCAGTTGTCCAAGCATTTCACTACATATCGTACTGTGTATGACTGTGTATGTGACAAATAACATTTGAATTTGAATTTGAAGTAAAACAAAGCAGAACTTTCCTAAAGTATGTGTTTGATTAAAGGTCTCCTGTTTCTTAGCTAAAGACTGACTTTCAAACACATTTTCATAACCTTTACCGTGTTTTTCTTACCCAGTCTGAAGGAGGTGAAGTCCCCCACAAAGTCAACTCGAGGCTGAGTCCCCCTGGTCACCAGCCTCAGGGTCAGGTAGTTTCCTGTGGACAGCACTGGTCGGGGTGGGCTCTTCCCACAAAGAGGAGGCCCCAAGAGAGGCGAGGTTGTGTCCCGACCATCATAGAACTGAACGTAAGAGCCGGCATGACACGGATCTTCTGAGTTTTCACCAGAGGTAGACTGCGATCTGGGGCTGAGAGGGGCAGAACCGTGGGGGGACAGAGACTCTGGCAAGACAGGCGCAGGACTCAGGGGGGCCACTCTAAGCAAGCTGTAAACCAGGAAGAAGCGGAAATGGAACTGGACCTTGTCTTTGGGAGAGCTGGCCTGCATTGTCAGGTGGCAATCAGTCCCCATGATCACAAAGTAGTACTTCTTGGATTCCTGGTGTGAGTTGATGATCATACCGTCACCTTGGATTGTCTGGCCACAGAAATCTACCACATTCACTGACAGGGAAGAAAAAAAACAAGAGACTAACTTCCCACATATTACACAGTCAAAGCAAGGTTGTTACAGATTTTTTTAAAAGGTTACTTTGATCAATTTCTCTTTATTAAAAATGGGCTAATCTGAACACACTCTGTGTTTTTGAGTTGTGTTGCTTTTGGGTTTTTTTTGTTTTTTCACAGTATTTTAAAGTATTTCGAACCATTATGGTTGTTTGAGTTTATGTTGCCTTCCTTTCATTTTAAAGCTATTGTCGTGTAACGTCAGCCAACAAATTTCAGCTTGCTGAATATTTTCGCGTTCCCATTCTCTGTAAACTGTGCAACTCTGACTTCATTGTTTAATGTTCTTACAAACCAAAAGAATTCAGTAGTGTCTTTTTAAAAAAAATGAAACTAACGTTTGCACATCAGCACAGATATGGATTTGCAAACGAGATGAAGGCTTCCACCTGAATACCATTTTGTTCACAATTACCAACCCAAGATACCAGCTTTTTGGTTTACACTTGACTAAAATTTGAATTCCTTCTTCTTTTCTGTTTTTTTTTCTTCCTTATTGGGTCTATGCAGAGTATCTCTGGTGCTACCATGTTTTTCAGTCATCTCTGGCTAGCTCCGGGATGTTTTTATCAATCTTCAACTCAAAATGTGCGCACAAAATGTGTGCTAACCAGTCTGGTGTTACATTAACCCTTTCACACACAGTGCTCACTACAGTAGACAGGTATTTATAGGTGGTTTTCTTGTATTTGTGTCAGTGTTGATGGTATACTTGCACATAAATCACTACACACTGATGTGTCACTCCATACCCTGCCACCCACTGGTCAGCCAGTGTACTTGTAAAAAAAACTCTTTGAAAAGTAAATTTAAAAAAAATTAAGCTCAAAAATCTTTTTTCAAATCCTGATTGATGGTGTCATAATTCATGCAGGACAGGTTTAAATGGTGGTTCTAGGTAGAAGTTGTCGTGACTTTTTTCCTTTTGATCCCATACACCCAAAAATTCAATATTTGCTAAATAAGCCCATTTAAACAAAAATCATGAAAAATAACATAATGTGGTTTTAATTTAACAGAGTTACAGAATTATTAAAATGCCAAGGAGGTCAAAACAACACCCTTGGCAGAAAAATAGCTGGCTGACAAGGAACAGGACCATTTTAGCCTGATAGGTCAGAGTTAGTTAAACCACATCTGAAGAGCAGATCCTCGGAGGACACACATATCATAACATTGTAGACCTGGTCTGCTAAATCTACCGTGGGACCAACGTCTAAGACGCAGCTTATCTAAAAGCAGGCTCCGGCAGCCTCCACACTGTCACCCATGGCCCCTTCCCTCTGGGCCACAGGCCAAATAATGAGGAAATTTATGACCACCCCTGAAGTTTATTAGCTTTGTTTCCATGGCAACTTGAATGTCCTAGGGCACATGAGCCCCTGTTGGTGGGAAACAGCTCATCCCCTCCACATGGCCTAAGTAAATACAAGACCTGGAGAGGATAACATCCAATGCACGGGTGACCAGAAGGTACAGAGGCCTCACTAAAGAATTTTGCAGGTTGAAAATTCAATTCATCTCTCAAAAATGTATTGTAAATTAAGTCTATGTTGTTGAGCTGACAGACGAGGGGTTATTCACAATGCTCACAGGTTATATTTAGATTTGATTTGATAACCTTTGTAGTTTAGTAATTGTTTTTTTTCTTGGGCAGCTTTCATGAGTTCCTAGAGGTTAAAAAAGGTCATTTGACCCATTCTTATATAGTCCTTTTCTACTCTCCCAGAGCACTCAGTGTTTTAGACAACATGCACTTTTCTCTCTACGTAATATTCACACACACTCATACACTGATGGATGCTTTGGAGAGCAACTTAGGGTTAGTAATTTGCTCAAGGATATTTGGCCTGCAGACTGGAGCAACCAACAACCAGTCAACAGTGCTTGTCCAGTGCCTAAGCTGTACAAGCACTCAAGAACACATACAAACAACAGAAATACACTCACTGGCCACTTTGTTAGCGACACTATTTAATTAAATTGAAAGCCTTTATTGTCATTATACATAGTATAAGAAGATTAGAAACAGCTCTAGAAAAGTGCATGGGTACCTTAGCACATTATAAAGACTATACAATAATTTAACTATACACTTAATATAAATATAAATACACAGTACAGTACTGGATGACAGAGACAGACAGGCAGAGAACTGATTACTTTTTGTGCAAGCACCCTTAGGATGTGTAGCCGCTGCTGGGCCATCTTGACTAGCGCCGTGGTGTTAGTTGACCAGGAGAGGTCTGCAGAGATGTGGACGCCAAGGAATTTGAAGGACTCCACTCACTCTACACTTTCTCCGTTGATGTGCAGAGGGGCAGAGGCAGTTCTGTTCCACCTGAAGTGCAGGATGAGTTCCGTGGTCTTGGTGACGTTAAGTGTCAGGTTGTTTGATGCACACCATTTTCCCAGTTTCAGGACTGAGAGTGTGAGGGGAAGAGAGGTGAGGGCCGAGCTTCACCGGCTGGGGTCTGTTGACCAAGAAGTCCTTTATCCAAGAGCAGGTGGGTGGTGGTTTGGGGACACCCGGATGTAGAAAGCATCCCACTGTGTGTGTTCAAAGCAGTCCTGCAATCGGTTGAGGGTGACCTCAGGCCAGGTGGTGATGGTCCTCTTTATGGGCTTTGTTTGCCAGCTAAGGGGGTGTATGCTATATGCTAGTTCAACATGCTGGAAACATGTCTCAGAATTCTGTTCCATGACATGACATGACTTGCCAAAGTGCTGCTCATAGGGGGTCATATGATTGTTGGGTTTTTCTCTGTATCTATGAAGCGCCTTGAGGCGACTTATGTTGTGATTTGGCGCTATATAAATAAAATTGAATTGAATTGAATTGAATGACATCGTGGATTTGCTGCACATCCATGATGAAAATCTCCCATTCCACCAAATCTGAATATTTTCTATTAGACTGAATTCTGGTGAGTGTGGAGGCACTCTGAGTTCAGTGAATCTTCAACCAGGACCATCACCTGTGGTGGAACCAGCTCCCAGTGTCAGTTCAGGAAGCAGGCACCAAAGCATCAGCATCAAACTTTTGTTTTTCATGCTGCAAGCTTGGGTCTTCGACAATGTTGTTGATGTTGTTCCTGTAATCTGCTGGAGCCATTCGCCTTGCTTGGGAGTCACTGCACCAAGCGCTCCGATTGCCAACACTGCTACCTTCATCCTCCACGTCTTCTAGAGCCCCTGGTATTTCTCCAGCTTCTCGTGTTACTACTTCCTGATGTTGCCGTCATTCAGTATTGCTACATCTATCACTACGGCCGTCTTCTTCAGTTGGTCCACCACCACTATGTCTGGTTGGTTAGCCACCACCATTTTGTCCGGGGTGGTTGTAGCTCAGGTGGTAGAGCAGGTCAGCTACTAACTGGAAGGTTAGTGGTTCCCATGTTGCTCTCTGAGTGTGAATGTTAGATAGGGAGCACTTAACAACTTAGCTTGCGTGATTGGGTGAATGAACGAGTTGTATAGAGTGCTCAGAGTAGAAAAGTCCTGTATAAGAACCAATTCTTCTGTATCTGGAAGTCCCACAGGATCTTAGCTCGGTCATTCTCGATCACGCTACTGGTCATGTCCCACTTTGACCTCTTAAATTTCTCCCACAATTAAAATATTTGGTCTCATATGGTGTGAGCATAAGTAAGACAAACCCTTAGGTATAACAACATCAGCCATCACATCTCCTTACTTTAGAAGTCTGGTCTAGGTTTGCTCTTGAATTTGGCTCCCATCTGTATATTTCATGTACAATAATTAATTTATTAAGACACAGAACACATTTACAAGCAAATACATGTTAGCAGCCTAGCTTAATTGTTTCTAGTGATGAAGGACTCTGGAGTGTACATCATACATGTTTATCTCACTACCGACTAGGGATGGGTATCGTTTAGGTTTTATCTGATACCGGTGCCAAATCGGTACTTTTGAAACGGTGCCGGTGCTCAAAGAATGGAGAACACAAAATTGGTCCAAAAACCTCTCATGTTCAGCTGTTTTTTTGAAAAAGATAACAATGTTAGCCTTTTCTGCAGCTATGGGGCATATATGGTATCACTCTTGGCTGGAAGCAGTGCTTAAACAATGGAAAAAACACAAACTTTGTCCAAAAACCTCTCATGTTCAGCTGTTTCCCACTTTTTCTTTGGTCATTTTAGCCTTTTTGGCCAGGGTGAAGGGAGTATCTGCCATCAAACAAGAGGACAGCCGCATGTAGCTATGATGATGTTTGCTAGTTCACCTTACATGCATTAATGTAATAACGTGGTTAGCCTACTCAACATAAATTACACTCGAACAACATTAAGCTACTCACGCAGAGAAGAACGGCTGCTGCTGCATCATCATCCGTCATCATTTCTGCTACACTGGCAGGGCTAGGGGCCAGGACTCTCCTCTTCCTGTTTGTGGGGGGATGTTGCTAACTCCGGGTCCGATAACAGGCACCACACCCACAGTAGATGTGCTCGGTGTGAGGTCTCGCAGCAAGCTATCAAATACGGCGCATTTCTCGGCTTTTAAAAAAACGCTATGCGTCGCCAGGTGTTTCATCGGATTCTTGGTGTTACCTCCTTTGACAGTATCACAGTATCAGCTTAAAGCACTTGTTGCTGCTGAGTTTGCATCTTTTGCTGTGAAGTACAGCCAGACTTTGATCACTTCGCCTTGGGCATTTTTAATCTGTAGCTCTGCTCTAAAAGAACGGATGTACCTGGACCCGCCTACTATCCTCGGAAACGTAAAGTGATTGGCTAGAAGTGTATCACAGCTCAGGAAAAAAAAGCACCAAAATAAAGCACAGAAATGTGCGCTGCTTTTCGGTCTGGTTACTACCGTTTATGTCAGAACCGGTGCCATCATGGCACCGGATAACGGTACCCATCCCTCCTACCGACTTATATATATTATAAATATATTATCTCCCCCTTCTAGTAATGCAACTTCTGCATGCGGGACGTTTCAGGCTTTGGACAGGCAAACTGTGAAATGGACACGGTGGACTGTGACAGTTGTTTGTGATTACAAGCCGAATTTTGTTGGGCACTGTCTTCATAGACCTTTAGTTCAACAGAAGTTATGTAGAAGGCAAAACGTGTGTGATATACAGGGTCAGTGTTCCTGAGCCTAGTCAGTGATTTCTACTTTATGGACAGCAGTACAGCCTGAGCACACACTGAAGCACTAGAACGTCTCAGCCTCTCATGTTTTTGAAGTAATTAGTAGAAATACTAACAAATAAACTTGGCCTGGTTTATTTGAAATGTGTTGCTGGTGTCTTTGGAAAAACCTTGTTAACACACACACAGAGATTTTAAAATGATTGCATGTCTTTGTTTTGTTACTTTGACTCTCACATATTTAGCGCAATCAGAGCGTTGTGCACAGAGAAATACAGCACACACACGTGCACCAAGCCTCTTTTAGTTGAGTTTGTGGAGTATTTCACACAGTTGTATCCGGGTGTTAAAAACTTACTGGTGTCGATGGACGAGGTGGAGAGACTCATGAAGCAGCGCAGCAGGAGCAGCAGTGTGAACACCCGCTGATTGCAGCTCTCCATTATCCAAACTGGGATACGAACGTGAAAAGCAGAGGAGGGTTCAGTCAGTTCACAGGTTAACAGAGTCACTTTAACCTAAATTTGTCACATTTGTCCAAAATAGAAAGTGCAGCATGCAAGAGTGTGACTGTCTGTTTAGCGGTGTGCTGCTCTCTTCTGCTACTTTGTTATTCGAGTTGAACCTTCTCCTCTCGTGTCCAGTCATCTCCTTGACAACACCCAACCAATCAGCCTTCAAGTTAGGGAAGGGGCGCGCGCACACACACACACACACACACACACACACACACACACACACACACACACACACACACACACACACACACACACACACACAGCCTTTGTTCAAAATAAAGGTCCACTCACTTGATGTAAACTTCATTTAGTTAGCCAAACTCTCCTTCTTCCTTGGGTGCTTTTAGCTGCTTCTCTGGTTTAAGGCTAAGTCAGTACAGTTATGTGCTTAACCAAATCTTACATCATTAGATACACGTTAGATACACTGCTGTAGAAACATTTAATCACAAATCATGTGTTTCACAAGAAAACACACTGGAACAGTAATTATATCCAGTTGTAAATGGGCTGGTCCTTATGTAGCGCTCTTTACTCTACTCAAGCACTCAAAGAACTTTATGCGACATGGCTCATTCATTCATTCATTCATTCATTCATTCAT